GCCATTGATGCTTATTGATTTTGAAATTTTTCAATGAATAGTAAAAAGATAAAGTTGCATTAGCCAATGAATTGGCAGCACTATCATCAACTACAAACATGTCTCTCTCTTTGTTTTTTTTTTTTTTTAAGTTTCGTTTAAGAGGCTATTTGTGCTGAAGCTGAACTTTTCTTTTTTCATTTTGGGAATCTGGCTCGTTCAATTTTGAAAGTGAGTTCTCTTAGCCGTTGATGTAAAGATACACATAAAGAAAAAAGAATCTGGTGATATTTATGAGCAGCCTGTCTGGATGCCAGTCTTGAATCGTTCTAGCTTTGCCTTATAAAAGGCATAAAAATTTATTAGCCCTGAGCCCCACCCACCTCGAAATAATTTTCACTTTTGGTTTTGGGGCCATAGCTATGGCCAAAACCAAGACAATCATTTATTTATTTGTTTTTTTTTATTATTATATCAAAATCTCATTTTTTTATTATTAAAAACAAGTATTTATTAGAATTAAAATTTTAGATCTAATAATTTATTTTTAAATCTTAATATTTGAATTTAATTATTTAAAAATTCAACTCCTACTAATTATTTAAAAAATTTCTCAATCCCTTGTAATTCTCAATGTTCAAAAAAAAAAAACATTTATTTAGCCTACACAAATACTATCTTTTAAATTTGTTTGATTTATTATTGGGTTTTTCCACTTTATAATTAATTTATATAAAAAATAAAAAATTATTTTAAATTTATATAAAAATATAAAAATTAATATTAATTTAATATTATTATATATACATTTAATTAAATATTAATTTTTATTTCAAAATTTTTAATTTAAATCTAAAAATACAAGTGAAAAAAAATCTCTCTATAATATGATTAATTTTTTATTTATAAATTATACATAATAATATATATTCATAAAGTAACGTGCTCTAAATTCTAATATATATATATATATAATTTTTTCTTTTTTTGTGTTTGAGATTGGTACGAATCTCAACCTCCCATAGAAGTTAAAGTGTGCATCGACTGGTCGCAAAGCCGTCATTGTCAATGGCTGACGGCTCTCCTTAAACCATCAATTTTCAGGTGCAGATGCCGCCTACGTTAAATAAATAAACGCCTTTAAATGATTTTATCATTTTTCATGGGTCTTGAAGGGCCCACACGCGGGACCCATATTAGCCCCCATCTATATTGAACTGAGCCCAAATCAGAGGAAACGAAAACGAAGAATAAGATTCGCGAATTTTCTCCAAATTATTTCTGAGATTTGCATGGGGTTCAATTTTCGTAATATGAATGATTGGATTTCAAAGGCCAGCTCACATGAATCACGACTTAGAAAAAACACTTGGCATCATTTTTCTTCTTGAATTTTCTTTATTTCTCCAGGTCTTGGATTATTTGGCGCAAGTATTGTCGATTTGAAGAATACAATGTATCAGGGTCCACAGGTTGGTAATTGATTTGGTTTCTAGCCTTTTCTAGTCTCCTTCACTGTATGTGAATTTAATGGTCATCTTGTTTCATTTGGTTTTGAAGCATGTTACGTGGACAGTGGAGAGTGGAGAGTGGAATCCGCCCCCCCATTGACAAAATCATTTCCCTCTTTCCCTGATGGGAACGTGCAGTTTATTGTCATTCACGTATAATTAAAGTTCACGAAATCTATAGAAAATTTATATCACAAATGATTTAAATAATTTAAGAATGTAATAAATGTATTTTTTTATAATTAATTTATATTAAAATTGTAAAAATTAATATATATTTTAATATCATTGATATGTAAATAATTTTAATTAGTTAATTGATTAAATCAAAATTAATATTTATATTTTTAATAAAAATTAATTATGAAAAAAATACATTTATTGTATCTTTATTCCGTACCCTTATAATACAAGATTAAAAAATTCATTTTTTTAATAAAAAGGTTTAAAATTTAAATTTTAAATCACATAATATATGAATTGATAGATTAAAAGATACAAAAAGATTATATTTTATTGTATAACTCAATATTTAAAAAAAAAAAAAAAAGAGAACTCAGATAAACAATTATCTTTCCAGTTACCAAATAATTAAAAGGTAGTAATTAATTGATAATTTATGAAAACTGTTTTGCATCTCACACTGTAGTCCGATTATGTGGTTACCAGCTGAGTGAAAATGCATAATTCTCTCAAAAAATAAAAAATAAAATTCACAAGCAGATGAATGAGTTGGCATGGAACTCTTCTAACTTAATTAGAGGGTTTGATTTCAAACCCTGAGAATGCAGCTCTATTAAAACTCGTGAGGGAGAGTTTTGTTGCCCGTTGGATTTTATCCGATTCGAATTTAAATTAGTTGATGATCCAATGAATTTCTGGATACCAGGTGGTTTATACAAAAAAAATAAAAAATAAAAATAAAAAGCATCATTATTCATGACGAGTTCCAACCCAATCATTGTTTCCCATGAAAAATTGGCCCAAATCTTATTTAAACAAATTGGGCCAAAGTTGACCCAATCACATTACTTCATTAAGCAAATTGCTTGTGCTTGAGCCTTTCCATAGAATTGGTAACGAAGTTCCGCCCCCCCTCCCCATTTTTTTTTTATATTAAGTTATATAATAAAAATCAATTATCTCTCATTTTTTTATTTACATTACCTAAATATTATGTTATTTTAAATTTTAAATCTGTTATTTTTTTTTTAAAATATTATTATTAAATTATTTATATAGTTAATTGTATCCCCAATTCTTATTGGAAAAGAAATGTAGCACAATTAATACATGAATTGGTTGAACCATAAAAACGCACGCATTGAATCATGTTAAATTAGTTGAAATTACCAAAATATATAAATATGAATTTTTTTTAACGATTTACAACTTGATTGGAAAGATTTAAACCCGACGATTCTAGAAAGGAAAGATGCACCAATAAGACATAAAGCTGTCCGATCAGAAGACCTGTGCAAAATATATAAATATAAATTGGTTGAACTTATTACCAAAAAAATATATATAATATAAATTGGTTGAGCTGAAGCTGCAGGCTATGGCAGAAGCTGTTTAGGCAATGCACAGTGTCTTTTGAACAAAGTTACAATTTTGAGGTGGAGGGAATTAAACCTAACCCTTGAATTGAAAGATGTATTTTACAAATCAACCTATAACTGTTAGACCGTAACATCCAGGTGCTGCAATTAATGCATAGTGTTTAGTAACAACTAATGTGACGGAAACTAGTGAAGTGGGAACATTTAATAATGCAGCAAGCAATAGGCTTTATGATATCAATCAGAGACAGCTAACTGTCGGCTTCTGAAGGTCATTGCCTTTCCAGAGGTACCAAATGACACTCAAAATGGGTCCCAAAATAATCTAACATTCAACACATCGCCGTCCTATCTGATTTTCTTTGATATCGGCACCTCATATTTTTGCGGGACAACATAGAAGAAAAATTGTGGGAGAGACAGGTGTTCCTTTTGTTTGGTTTTCGAACATATCAATTAAACTCTTCCATCTCAACACGGGACTGTTAAACGTTGTCTTTAGTTGGCCCACGAATTTCACAAGGAAAACCCTCCACGTATGTGCATTATTATAGTGTGCGTATATACGGGAAATTCGGCACCGTTCCTGTGAGGTGAATGCTACGTGTGACTGCGTTGGTGCATGATGAGTCTGAGGGCCGCAATAGGTGTAATTAATGAGGAGGACAGATGGAATATTTGTTACTAGAAATCTGGTAAAGGGCGGGCCGATTTATTTTCAGAGAGGGAGCCAGGGAGGGACTGATTTGTTTGCGATACATCGAGAGTGATGAGGACGGTGACGACTGATGAGGCCAACAACGGCGGAAACAACTTGACGAACGGCGGCTTTGAGAAGAGCTTCACGTCTAGATTTTCATCTCTGTTGGCTTCTAGAGATCGTGATTATCTTCTCTCACCAACAGGGACTCAGGTTTTTCTTTTCTCTCCCTCTTAGGAATATATCTATATAGTATATATATGTATCATCTGGTTTTATGTGATTTTCTACTTTGTTGGAGCAGTTCTTTTCTTTTTCATGAGTACAATACGTACTTTGGTTTTTAACTGAACTCATACACACCTAGCTATGGCTTCCTGGGACACGGTTAACTTCATTCCAGTTTTTTTTTTTTTTTTTGCTATTGTTCTTGTTTGCGGGACATAGAGAAGAATTATTAATTAACTTGATCATTATAAATTTGATTTGAATAGTTGAATAGCAGGAGTGAAATTCTGCATGTAATACATTTATGCATTTATACATGTATGTTTGAGAGGAAATTTCTACTCCTCTTATAATTAAGGTAATTGATATCTTTATAATTATCTAAATTTTATAAATTACTTCATTGGTTTCTCCTCCTTCTTTTTTTTCCCCTTTTTGGCATTTTTCTGGCCTTCAAGGAATAATGTCCGTTAAGTAGTCCTTATTAAGTACTGTAATCATTCGTTGTTTCTTCTTAATTAAGTAAATTATAGTATTTAATTATAAAATTGTAAAAAAATTAAACATTTTAATAATTAAAATTTCTATAAAAATTATTTAAATATATTTAATAAGTTAATATATAAAAAAAATCATCATAGACCATTTAACATCTCAGAACATTTTAATTTTTACTCTTTTTTAGTAATACAAGAATATTTTTTTATTTTTTATATAAATTTCACATAT